TGGTGTAATGGCTACGTCACTGGACTTCTATGTAGTAAACTGCAGTTCAAGTCCTGGACCCGGTGGCTTAAACTCATGCTGGGTGTACATGTGTGTGTGCCCAAGATCCTCAGAGGAGAATAGAGGAGAAAGGATTATGGCGTGGCTATCCCGCCTGGGGGGTGATTTCTTTCTTTCTCTTTGTCTCACTCTGTCTTTCTGGTGAGCACACATGCCCTATAGCAAAAACTTCTCCAATAAAAAAAAAAAAAGCTATTTTAAAGCTGAGGTGTGTCCTGGCATGTTCAGAGAAGCTATGCTTTAGGCTCCATCTCCTAGATGGAGCCTTTTCTTTCACTTGCTAATTCTAGAAACCATTTTAAAGGTGAGGTGTGTCCTGGCATGTTCATTTTCCATGTGTAAAAAATTTTTCTTCCTCTTTTTTGGAAGTATTTTTCTATTTTTTTTGGCTTATTTTATTTTAATTTTTTTATCCTTACTTTGCCATTCTAAGCTTCACTCTCCACACATTGAATGCCTAGATAGGCCTAGAGGCATAGTAGCCAAGCATCTGAATACTTTTAAAATCACTGAAATCCTCACCTCTTATTGAACCGCCTGCTTTAATGAAGAAATTTCTTTTTATAAATCTGAACTACTAATCTTTCTGGGGACACCACATTGCAAAGCTCAGTGGAGGATGGATTATTTTGTCACAGAATGACCAGAAACAACCGCAGATGCTCAAGAAACATGAGAAAATATCTCTCCCCTAAGGGAAGAGAACAACCCCTCATCATCCACAGACAGTACAGTAGAACTCATGGAAATGTCTGATAGAGAATTCAGAATATTCATAATGACAAAACTAAATGAGATGCAAGACCTAAGAGATAACGAACTCCAGAAGATGCAGGAGAAGAGATAATGAGTTTCAGGAGGTGTTGAAGTTCTTCCATGACCTGAAAGAGGAAATGCACACTGTAAAAAATCAAACGGTGCTAGTAGAGATGAAGGATGCCATTCAGGAAATAAAAAAACCTCCCTCGAAAGTATTAAAAGCAGATTAGTTCATGCAGAAAATCTAATCTCGGATGTTGAAGGCAAAACCTCTGATCTAGAAAAAACAACAACAGAAAATAACCCCCCAAAATGAGAATACTATACGAGAAATACTAGACACCATTAAGCGCCCAAACATCCGGATAATCGGTATCCCAGAAGGTGAGGAAACTAATAAGGGCATTGATAATCTATTCCACGAAATCTTGGAAGAAAACTTTCCAAATCTAGAGAGGCATGCAAATATCCAGACCCAAGAAATACAAAGGACCCCTAATAGAACTGATCCAAGATGATCTTCTCCAAGGCACATCATAGCCAGACTGGCCAAATCTACAAAAACAAGACACTAAAATTGGCAAGAGAGAATCGTCAGATTACTTATAAAGGTTATCCAATCAGGTTAACCTCAGACCTCTCATCAGAAACAATGCAAGCTAGGAAAGAATAGGAAAATACATTCAGATTGTTAAGTGAAAAACAGTTACAACCAAGAATACTATACCCAGCAAGATTATCTTTCATATGGAAAGAAAGGATAAAAACATTCTCAGATAAACAAGACTTGAAAGAGTTTTCCAGTAGCAGACCCACTCTTCAAGAAGTTCTGAAAGGAGTGCTCTACCAGGAAAACTAAAGACACATACAGAAATAAGCGAACAAAAGGCAACCAAAAAAATTAACAATTTAATGCTAGGGACAAGAAATATCAATAATAACGTCGAATGTTAACTTCCAGGATTTAAATGGAAAGATTGGACCATAGTAACACTGCATATTCAACAGAAGAGTATTTGAACATAAGACTGAATCACGAAATAGAATTTTATGACTTTAAAACATTACTGATTTCTTTTTTTACTATGCCTTGTTTTCCCAATTTAAACAGTTTACTTTCTTTGGAGTTGTTGATAGTTTCAGCAATTTGTTAAAATATTTTTGTTTGTTTCTTTAAATAGAACCATAAACTTTTCTTCCTTCCTGACCCCTCTTGAATTAGAAAAACTTAGGAGTATTCTTATTTTTTGGCAGAAGGGTTATATGCATGAATTCTGTAATGCTTGTTGCATTGAATCAGAAATTGGAAATACTCATTATTAGACAGAGCTTTGACTGGAATGTCATACCTGAAGATTAACTTGTGTGCTGGGCATTTGCTTTTCAACAATTTGAGTAGTCGACATGTAAATATTTTCTCAAAAATTTTTAAAACCATACTGTCTCTGTTGTTAGAGTCACAAACAAAATTATACAAAAGTATAAGAAATATTTTGAACGTTATCTTTAAAATTCAGTAGTTTGAAATTTTGAAAGTTGTTAACTGTCAAGAACTATGGAGTATGGGACCAGAATTTAGCATAATGGCTGTGTTGCTGGACTCCCATACAGTCGACCGCAGTTCGAGTCCCAGACCTGGTGGCTTAAACTCATGCCAGGCACGTGCCCAAGATCCTGAGGGGAGAATGGAGAAGGGATTGTGGTGTGGCTATCCCCCCTGGGGGGTGATTTCTCGCTTTCTGTCTTTCTGGTGAGAGCACATTGCCCTATAGCAAAAACCTCTCAAAAACAAAACAAAACAAAAACAAACTATGGAGTATGAGCAAAATTTTTTTGATATGTAAAGTAAATGTTACTGGAAAAATGTAAAAATAAATCAATGAGGGAAAAATCAATGGTTTTCCGGAGTTAGGGGAGAAAGAGATGTGAACAAAAGGAGCACAGAGGCTTTTTAAGGCAGTGAAACTGTCCTGTGTGATACTGTATTGGTGGATACAGGTCATAAATTTGTTCAAACCCACAAAATATACAAGATTAAGACTGAACTCTAATGTTAAAAAAAAAAAAAAAATCAGTCTGGGGCAGCTGGTTGTGTGGTTATTTGTTGCTGAATCCCACAAGGCCGACTGCATGGTTCCAATGTCAGGCCCGGCTGGTTGAAAAATACACTGGGTCGTGTGTGTGTGTGTGTGTGTGTGTGTCTGCGTGCACCCCAAAGCTGAGAGAATGGAGAAGAGATTGTTGCATGGTCCGACTCCTGGAGAGTGATTTCTTACTTTCTCTCTGAATCTGTCTGTGCCGAGTGTACACGCCCTGTAGTAAGTTAGAAAAAAGAAATCAGTTTGGAGGGAGTATCTTGTGGTTATTGTGGCTATCTCTCTTTATGACCCCTGCTTGTCAAATCTACTTTATTTGCATCTATTCTGTATTATAAAGTTAAGATTGAATCAGAACAAAGCATGGTTAAAAAAATTCCTGGCTCAATTTCAAGTTTAAATTGTAGGTCTGTTTATTGTTCTGTGCATGAGATATGATCAGCCATTAAACCTGTCAGTTATCACTATGATTAGGTTTTAAATAATAGCTGTCATTTTTAAATATTTGTTACTCTTTCTGACCTTAGAGGGTAAAAAAATTTTTTTTTCTTGGTTTTATAAATAGTCCAGATTGAGATCAGTTTGGTCTCTGAATTGTGCCCTTCAGTTCCAAATTTGTTGGTATTTGTTCTTAAGAACAGTGTGGAAGGGGATGAGAAATAGTAGGAGCAAGAGGTTTATTACTCTTTCCTTTCTTAAAAAAAGAATGTATTGGGCCAGCTGGTGGCTTGGTGGTTAAGGCAGTGCTGAGTCCCATGTGTCTGATAGAGCAATTCAGTCCTGGATCCTGTGGCTTGGAAAAACATGCCCCAAATCCTAAAAGGGGAAGTGGAGAAAAAGGGATTGTACTGTGGCCTTTCTCCCTGAGGAGTGTGTTCTCTCTGCCTCTGGCAAGGATGTGTGCCCTATAGCAAATGTGAAAAATAACGTATCTCCTAATACAGGCCATATATATATATATAATTTTTTAAAATTTGCATGAGGGTAAGTGCTCTGGCAGGGATGGGTGGTAGGGGGCAGAGAGAAAACACCTCCTATGGGGGATGGTCACACCACAATCTCTTCTGCATCTCTCCATATTTCTGTGAGGTGTGCTTGCTTTGTACACATCAGAGATATTTGTTGCAAGTGGATGGGGAAAAACTAAAAATTTTACTTGAAAAATTTGTTTAAGAAATGAGACTCTTTTCTTGTGAGACTTTAAGACTACTTAAAACTTTCTTTTTTTTTTTTTGAGAAAATTTCACTATAGGGCGCGTGCGCTCACCACACAGAGAGACATATAGACAGAAAGCGAGAAATCACCCCCCAGGGGGGATGGTCACGCCACAATCTCTTCTCCTCCATTCTCCTCTCAGGATCTTGGGCATGCACGCACGCACGCACACGCACCTAGCGTGAGTTTTAAGCCACTGGGTCCGGGACGCGAACCACAGTCGACTATGTGGGAGTCCAGCAACACAGCCATCACGCTAACTGCTGGTTCCCCAAGATTACTTAAAACTTAGCTTTAACTAAACTAGTAGGTTGTCTGGAAAGTCATAATGCATTTTTATATGCAAAAATGCATCATGATTTTCCCGACAAATCAATACTTTTTAGAAAGTTTGTATTTAAAGACTTAAAAATTTTAAGATAATGAACTCATCAAAAGTTAAGATATACATTTCCAATGAATAGTTATTTAAAAATTTTATTACAAAATAGTCTTTCTTTTCCTGACTTATAAAAGTATTCTATGCCAACTGAGGAAAACTGGGGAAAAAACAGTGCTTGGTAGTGGTGAAGGTGGCTGGAGCCATTATGGCCAAGTATGCAGTTTGAGTTCCAAACCAGGTGGCTTGAGAAACACTCCGTGTGCATGTGTCCAAAATCCCAAAAGGAGGGAAGAGATGAAGAAGGCAATGTGGTGTGAGATCATGCCCTATGGGGGTGTGTGTCCCCCCGCCTAGCATAAGTGCGCTCTGACAAATTAAAAATAAAAAAGCATAAAGAAACAGAAAAATAACTGTAACACAGTCACTAACATGCATAAAATAATGTAGATTAATATTTTTAATTATAATATAAATATTTTTATTACAGGAAATAAGATATACGGAGCGAAGTTTTGCATCAAAACCCACTATGAATGTAAGTATAAATTTAAATCATGCTTTAAAAATTTCAAGAATTTAAAGGCTACATAGTTGATAAGGACACACATGATTTGGAATTGTGAGGGCCAACACAGGATGGTGAAATTGTTAAGAAAAGTCAACTATTCAAATATAAGTTGAAGTCTTCAATTACCAATTCTAAGTCTATATATAGACTGTGTACTGCAAAACAGCCTTCTTTCTAAAACTGGGCAGTGTTCTCCCTGTACTCTCAGGGACCCTCCTTATATTGTTTGGCACCACACAGGAGGCACATGGGCAAGCCTTGAAGAGAGACCATCTAGGACTAGACATCACTTCATCACTTAGTGCTTTGAGGGGTCTTTACTTTCGAAGGGTCCCTACAGTGTGACTCAGTTGTATCTTCCCATCTAAATCTAGGGAAAAGTACTCTTATTAAGAACTTAACAAGAGATTGTGGAAGACAAGTGTCTAGAGATAATCGTTGCAGTCCTTATTGTACAGTACAAGAGAACTTTTATCTACTCTTAATGTATTACTGTCTTATTTAAGAAATCATAACTGTTGCTGTGTTAAGGGATATAGCCCTACTTAGCATACAAGTCTTGAGATTTCCCTTCAGCAAAGGACTCTTCTTGCTAGGGTTTTTTCAAAATGTTTTTTTTAAAGTCTTTTTGCTATTTTTTTTTTTTATGGTTTTTTTGCTGGTGTGAGCTCACCACACAAAGAACTGAGAAATCATGTCGGGGGCGGGGTGGTGGTGGTGGTGGCCATGCCATAATCCCTTCTCCGAGGATTTGGGGCACGTACACACATGCCTGGCGTGAGTTTTAAGCCGCTGAGTCTGGGACTTGAACAGTGGTCAACTAAGTGGGAGTCTAGCGATGTGTTAGTCCCACTAGATTTTAGTTTTGTTTTTGAATCCAGCGACATAATCATTATATGTCATGTTTTGGTCTTGCTAGGTTTTTTTTGTTTTTTTGTTTGTTTGTTTGTTTTTTTAAAAGAGAGATTTTGGCCATGGGGCACATGTCCACACCAGAGAGAAAAACAGAAAGTGAGAAATCACCCTCATGGGGGGATGGCCATGCCAGTCCCTTCTCCATTCTTCGCTTGGAATCTTGGGCACCCACAGACATGTACCTGGTGTGCGTTTTAAGCCACCAGCGGTCTGAGACTCAAACTGGTCGACTACATGTGAGTCTAGAGATCGTAACCATTACACCATTTGCTGGTCCCCTGCTATGGTTTTTTTAATTACATGGTTAACAAGGATAAAGTGGCCATTTTCTAAATTTTTGATTGTAGAATCAAAACTCTCATCTCAGTCTTGTGTGAATTTGGAAGGAGCTATACATGTCCTTTGTAGTTGGTTTATCTTAGGTTTTCTACTAGGTCTTGAGTCAGCGTTAGCTCTGGACTGGTGCTTTATACCTGTTGTGTTACTAAAATCATTTTAATCTTTGACAAATTATTTTGATCAAAAGTCTGTTTAACAATATATTTATGAATTTATTTAAAGACAGTATGGGTAAAATACCTACAGTAATTTTTACTATTTTCTGTCTTGCCAGGAAGTGGTCATAGTAAGTGCTATGAGAACACCCATTGGATCCTTTCTAGGCAGCCTTTCCTCACTGCCAGCCACTAAACTTGGTTCCATTGCAATCCATGGAGCCATTGAGAAGGCAGGTCAGTTGTTGCTTTGCTTTGCTTTTTATATTGAGGCTGCCAAGTGATTTGGTGGAAGAGATACTTACGTCGTACATAGTAGTTGCGTAACACTTAGAAATAACTTAATGCCTACATTTCTAAATTCCTGGTGAAGAAGCCTCTGTGTAGAGTTAGGAATGAAACTCAAACCTGACAAGATCATACCTGGTGTGTAATGTCATGTACTGTATTAGGTAATCACTAATTATAAAATTGAATAAAATACAGAATTGCCTTTGTGGTGTTTTGCAAAGGGATTCCCAAAGAGGAAATAAAAGAAGCGTACATGGGCAATGTTCTACAAGGAGGCGAAGGACAAGCCCCTACAAGGCAAGCCGTCCTGGGTGCAGGTAACAGGAATACATTTTTGCTTTTATACTTAAAATGTTTGAAATGGCAAAATGGAGATCATTTCAGCTTATATAATGTATTAAATGCTTAATTTATAGATACATAGAAGAAATATTAACAATATAAGTGTGCTCTATTATAATTTTAATCTATAGTTGTGTTTTACAAGTACATCTATTTTTCAAGATTGTGATTTTTATTGATTTTAGGCTTACCAATTTCGACTCCATGTACCACCATAAACAAAGTCTGTGCTTCAGGGATGAAAGCCATCATGATGGCCTCTCAGAATCTTATGTGTGGACATCAGGTAAGAAGCAACTTTTCCAGTTGTTAATTAAAACAATATCTAGTGCTAAAAGACACTGAAAGGCAAGGCCAGCAGGTATGGTGTGGTGGTTGAGGTGCTGAACTCCCACACAGCCAACCGCAGTTCAAGTCCCAGACTTGGCAGCTTGCTTTCTCACTTTCCCTGTCTCTGATGAGTGCATGTGCCTCATAACAAATTAAGGTAATAATTAAATCTTAAAAAGACTAAAAATCTAAGCCCATTCATGCTTGAGAAATGCAATTGTTTCTTCATAAAGTTGCTGCGTTGTCTCAGATACCTTGGAATCTCTGGATTTAGTAATTACAGAGATATTGGCAGACAGGTCAAAATGATAATGTTAATTTTCTTAAAAGTAGTTTTCAGTGAGTTATTTCAGTCTTGGGATGCCTCTTAAGCATATTTCTTTCAGATTCTGAGTAATATAAAAAAATCAATATCTGTATTAGCCAGAATAAGAAGGGTTTTTATTATAAAGGAGAAGCGCTGGGACCAGCAGTTAGTGTAATGGCTATGTCGCTGGCCTCCCATGTAGTTGACCGCGGTTTGTGTCCCGGACCCAGTGGCTTAAAACTCATGCCAGGTGCGTGTGCGTGCATGCCCAAGATCCTGAGAGGAGAATGGAGGAGAAGGGACTGCAGTGTGGCCATCCCCTCTGGGGGGTGATTTCTCGCTTTCTGTCTGTCTGTGTCTGTCTGGCGAGCGCACGCACCCTATAACAAAAACCTCTCCCCCCCCTAAAAAAAAAAAAGAAAAAAGTAGGGCTGCCCTTGCGAGTAGAATCACAGGGTGAGCTTAGGACTGATGACTAACTGGTAGTCCCCACAGTGCCCAGGGTCCAGCGGTGAAGTTGTGCAGGCTTTCTGTTGCTCTTGCTGATCCAGATCTTGTCCTTACTTGCGATCATATAGGAAACCAGCTTTGAGCAAATACATGCCCTGCTGTTAGACTAGACCTTGACTCACAGAACTAAAACGCAGTCAAGATGCACCCTCCCCTTTTGTTTTTCAAATGAGAAAAGTGGATTGTGATACCCACAAACCAAAGTTAGAGGCTGAATGAGAAAACTAATGTCTTTATTCCTACATAGTCCATCCTAGCCTACCAGGGTGTAATACATGAGGGTGAAAAATCAATTGTAGGGTATTTGCAAATTATGTCTTACATAAACACAATTATGTACTCTCTTGTGTTATTCCCAGCTTGCCTTGTTTGGAATTAGAAGGCAAGCTAAAGAGGAGTTAAAAAAAAGTGACTATTATATCAGAAATTTTATTATAAAAGCAATGTATAGATATGGTAAAAATGCAAATGGTACAGAAAAGTATAAAATGGAAACCTTCTGACCAACCTTTCAATCATTCACCAGTTTCAGTGTTTGGCTACTTAGATATTAGATGGGAACACATCTATTTATATCAGTATTTGAAATAGTATTCTCGGGATCAGCAGGTGGCATGATGGTTAAGGCACTGGATTCCCACATGGCCAACCATGATTCTTGTCCCAGACCTGTGGCTGGAACATTATGCCGCATGCATGCCCGCCCCAAAATCCCAGGAGGAGAATGGAGGAGAGAGAACTTCAGCATGGCCATCCTCCCTGCAGGGTGGTTTCTCACGTTAACTCTCACTCTCTCTGGTGAGCATATGTCCTTTGGCAAAAAACAAACACATTCTACTGAATTGAATATAGTATATTCTATAGATTATTACTGATTAGACATCCATGTTGTCTCCAGTTCTTCACTATATTCAATGATGCATATATTGAATATACATGTATCTTTGTATACTTTTACATAATTCACCTCCACTGATAGGGTATAGTGTAGTGTTTGAGAGTACAAAGTCTGGAACCAGCCTAACTGGAAATCTAATTCTGCCCCTTATTAGTTGAGTAACTAGTCTGTGATAGTCACTGGAGATACAGTGACAAAACCAAAACTTTAAATCTCTTAATATGCAAGTATATGCTGGAAATATTCCTAAAAGAATTACTGAGTCAAGAGATTGAAATTTTGATATTTTAAAATGTTTTCCCTTTAAGTTTTACCAGTTTTACTTTTTTTTTTTTTGGAGAGGTTTTTGCTACAGGACATGTACGCTCACTGGAAAGAGAAAGACAGAAAGCCAGAAATCAACCCCCTGGGGAGATGGCCACACTCCAGTCCCTTCTCCTCCATTCTCCTCTCAGGATCTTGGACACTCATGCATAAGTGCCCGGCGTTGAGTTTAAGCCACCGGGTCCGGGACTCAAACCATGGTCGACTACATGGAAGCCCAGCGACATAGCCGTTATACCAACTGCTGGTCCAACCAGTTATACTTTCTGAAAGTTGTGTGAATCTGTTTGCTTATATCCTCACCTACAGAAATATTGAATTCTTGTCAAACCAGTGGGCAAAAAATAGTCATCAGATTGTTTGAAGGTTAGATTATCAGACATGTCTTTGTTCCTTTCTACTGCTTTTAAGATTTTCTATTCATTAGTCATCACTATTATGTGCCCTGGTGTAGTTTTGTGTTTATGTTTGGGGGCTGTAGGGCTTCTTGGATCTTTGGTGTTATAGTTTTTGATCCAATGGTATTTAAATAAACGATAGCCATTTTTCACAATAGACAATATATTTAAGTTCTTTGGTACAGCAATTGTCTTTATTCCTGCTTAGGAATGAAAAAAAATTGGCATTTATTTTAATTTATATTACATTAATGTTTTATAGATTTTTTTTTTTTTTAAATGAGAGGGCACGTGTGCTTGCTGGAAAGACAGAAAGAAAACGAGAAATTGGCCACACTGCAGTCCCTTCTCCTCCATTCTCTTCTTGGGATCTTGGGCATGTACATACATGCACCCATCACACATGCAACCAGCATGAGTTAAGCCTCTGGGTCCGGGACTCAAGGCATGGTCCACTATGTGGGAGTCCAGTGATGCAACTATTACGCCACCTGCTGATCCCAAACTATTTATTTTTAATTAGGCCTTACAGTGCAAGTGAATTTCTTTTGTTGACTTGTAAATAACAAGTTAATTGATTAACATTTATGACAATAGGGTTTCTGGCCTCGAAGGAACTTAGTCTAGTAAGATTTGACATAGAAACAGCTAGGATACAGTTGAATATATATATTTTTTTTCTTAAAGAATTTTATTTTATTATTTTACTTTTTAATTTGCTATAGGGCATGTGTGCTCACCAGAGACAAAGAGTAAGGAAGCGAGAAAGCATGCCTCCAGGTCTGGGACCTGAATAGTGGTTGACCATATGGAAGCCCAGTGTCTTAACCACCATGGCACCTGCTGGCCCAAAGTAGAATTAATAAAAGCATGACACAGTAATTGGAGAACACAAAAAGAGAAAGGGAAGCTGTCCAAAGAGGGATAGAAGTAAATACTTAAGGAAAACATGGCATGGTTGGGTTCTGATCGGTCGTAAAAGAAATGTAGGAGTCTTACATGTTGGTTTGAGCATGGTATTTTTTGCAGAGCTTTGCCTAGCTCATAACATGAGGTCTGAGTACAAACACTGGGACTGAAAAATGAGAGAAGATGAGGAAAGACTGTATGTAGGAAGAGTTCATTAAGGTGTGAAATGATCACACTTAAATTCTAGTGAAATATGAATGTAGGTGATACCTTGGTTGAAGGAGAGGAGAGGCAACATGTCACAAGATCAAAGAGAACATTATTAGAACTGTCCAGGAAGAGTTGTTGAGGATCTTAAGGAAGTAGAAAGGTTATTTCCATGAATTGAGATTACTTCTAATGTTTTAGAAGACATTACAGTTTTAGAAGCTTGTATAAAATGAAGGGTTAGAATTTCAGAAGATGGCCTTACATAAAAGATTCTTGGCATTATTATTAATGTCTACTTCTACTTTTAATTCTTACACATTTTTTAGATAGTTCCTTTTATTTAGGTTGAGTGGTAAAGAGGGTGCTTTCTCTATTCTCTGTGTTTTCAAATGCTTAATAAATCCAAATAGAATACATGTTCGTTCCTTGGTAGCTCTGTAAAGGCTGTAACAGGTTGGCAACTATTTGAACTGACATTGGGTTTTTGTGTTGCTGAGCAGGACGTGATGGTGGCAGGTGGGATGGAGAGCATGTCCAATGTCCCATATGTAATGAGCAGAGGAGCAACACCATATGGTGGGATAAAGCTTGAAGACTTAATCGTAAAAGATGGACTAACTGATGTCTACAATAAAATTCATATGGTAAATGTTGCTTTTTAGTGGAGAAATGCCATCTAATATACAAAACTGCTTGATTTTTCTTAAGGTATGTATTTTAAAAACTGAAGGATGAGCTCTTTGTATGTGTAATATTAGCCATTTCCACTAGGAAACTAATGTTCTATGCCCAGTGCATCTGCATGGCTCAATTGTAAAAGAAATAGCCCCATACCCAAATAGGGCATTTTCTAACTTCTAAAGTATCAATAGCAACTTCTAGGCTAATTCAAGTATTTGAAGATAAGACACGAGTGGAAAGTTACCTTATACTACAGAAAGAAGTATGTGTTAAGAAAACTTGTTACTCTATTTTATAAAGTTGTGCAAAAAGTCAGTAGGCATTTTCTAAGTTATGCAAAATTCTTAAATTCCAACTTTTATCAGGGCAACTGTGCTGAGAACACAGCCAAGAAGCTGAATATTGCACGAGATGAACAGGATACCTACGCTATCAACTCTTATACCAGAAGTAAAGCAGCATGGGAAGCTGGGAAATTTGGAAATGAAGTTATTCCTGTCACGATTGCAGTGAAAGGTAGAAGGAAACTGCTCTAAACTAGATCTTATTACATGGGGGGGGTGGGGGAGATACATACATAAGCACCCTTGACTGAGTTTCTCCAGACTGATCCTCCCGCCCCAGCCTTAATCACAGGTACACTCTGTTGCACTCAGGCAGGCTGGGAAGTCCAACATGGGCCTCCCATGTGGCTCCACCATCACATAGCAGTGCCCTATTGCCTGTCCTACGGCAGCTGGGCCAATTGTTTTATAAGTGGTTTGTTTGGTTTTTTTGGAGAGGAGTTTGCTATAGGGTGTATGTGCTCACCAGAAAGAGAGACAGAAAACAAATCACCCCCTGGGGGGGAACGGCCATGCCATAATCCCTTCTCCTCCATTTTCCTCTCGGAGTCTTGGGCACACACACACACACACACACACACACGTGTCCAGCTTGAGTGTAAGCCACCAGGTCTGGGACTTGAACCGTGGTCGACTACGTGAGAGTCCAGCAACATAGCCATTATGCCAACTACTGGTCCCTTTAAGTGGTTTTTGACATAGGGTATGTGAACTTGCTGGAAAGAAAGAGACAAAGTGAGAAATCACCCCTTGGTGGGGGGATGGCCATGCTGCAATCCCTTCTCCAGGGATCTTGGGCATGCATGCACATGCACCTAGGATCATTTCAATACTGGGTCCAGGACTCAAACCACAGTCAGCCGTACGGGAGTCCAGCAACATAATGACTATGTCATCTGCTGAATCTAGCCAATTTTAATTTTTAATAGAATTCCCATATTGCTGAATTTTTTATGTTTAAGATTTAAATTAGTATATTACTATTGTTCAACAGGAGACACTAACACTTGTGGTTATTAATAAAAGGAAGAGTTGCTAGTTTAGAGAGAACATTTTTCAACTGAACTTAACATCATATTTTAATCCAGTTATAAGATCAACTGAGCAGGAAAAAAGAAATCCACTAAGCATATTCTGTAACTGGCAGGTAGCATAGTAGTTAAGGTGCTAGACTTACACATGGTCAATTGTATTTCATGTCCCAGACCTGGCAGCATGCCAATTATGCCTGGCGTGTGTGTTTGTGTCCAGCATCCCAAGAAGGGATTGTGGCATGGCCATCTCACCTGCAGGGTGATCTTCTCACCTTGTCTCTCCAGCGAGCACATGCACACTGTAGCAAAAAATCTGGAGGAAAAAATAATCCACTAGGCATATTCCAATCTGAGAAATATATTTAGTAAAACTGTCACATGAGTGACAGACAATAAGCTCATATAACACATCATCTTAACTGAAAAGGGATTTATTAGAAGAGTATTGAGGGTAGAATTGATGGATGAATGGCAGTGTCCAATCAGTTTGGGAATCTGAGGGACTGTAACAGGGTATTTAATATTATTGGGACTTTTTTTTTTTTTTTTGAGAGGTTTTTCTTATTGGGCGTGTGCGCTTGCCAGAAAGACAGAGAGAGACAGAGAGATAGAAAGCAAGAAATCACCCTCCAGCGGGGATGGCCATGCCGTAATCCCTTCTCCTCCATTCTCCTCTTGGGATCTTGGGCACGCATGCACACGTGCCCGGTATGAGTTTAAGCCACCAGGTCCGGGACTGGAACCGCGGTCGACTACATGGGCGTCCAGCCACATAGCCATTACGCCAACTGCTGGTCCCTGGTACATGTTCTTTTGGGTTCTCATTCCATATGTTATTTCATTCCATCTCTCAGCCTTTCTTAAGTTGTTGCCTCTACCTCTAGGGTCATTTTTGTAGGGCTCTCAGTTAAAGGGGAGAGAGAACTTGAGCGGAATCACAGTAAAAACTCATTAGTTTCATTTAGGTTGTATTTCTATTTCTAGAAGATTGTGCTTGGGTAATAGAATACTAGACCTAGTTATCTAGCCTGTGTGGGACATCTGTCCCTGAGGTCAGGAGAATGGGATCAGTGATCCAAGAAGAATGAAAAGATGAGAGAATGAGATATAGAATTATAGATTTAAATTTCATTAAATTTATTAATTTCCTTTTTAGCCATGCATGTCGGGGTATAACTGTATTAATCAGCTACTTGGTAGATTGAAGCAGAGGATCCGAAGTTCAAGGCCAGTCTGGGCAAAATGAGATCCTAATAAAAAAAAAAAAAAACACTCCTTTTAAAGACACTACAGTAATAGAGAGTATAGGTGGTAAACTCTAGGTTAACTTTTACTTGGGATGGTTTACAGTTTGCAGGCAAAGAGAGGGTGGCTTAGGCTAGCAGGCTTCTAGTACAATAATATCTTGCTCAATGGCTAAATACTGTCTTGAGTGTGGTGAGTACTTCAAATATACAAAACCATTTTTATTTTAGGTAAACCAGATGTAGTGGTGAAAGAAGATGAAGAATACAAACGTGTCGATTTTAGTAAAGTTCCAAAGCTGAAGACCGTTTTCCAGAAAGAAAATGGTTAGTATTAAGGAAAAAAACCTGAGTCATTATGTGTTTTTGTTTTTCTATGCAATGATCACCCAGTAGATGTTATTTAACATGTTCAATACAACAGGCTCAAGTAAAAATTAACAAATTAATTTGCTGTGGCTTCTAGCACTACATACTGTCACCTCAGGGCCTGCAACACTGTGGCTAGCTGAGAATATATTTTTTGGTTAAGTCTGTGATAGGGTCTTCACTGGCATTAATAAAACATGGCCAGCCCTGTGGCCTAATGGCTAAGGACGCCAGCTCTTACATGGCTGACCACACTTGGGATCCCAGCCCCAGCTGCTTGAAAAACACAGCAGGCACATCTTGTGTAGATAAATGGTGGCAGGATTGTGGTATGACCATGCCTCAGTGGGAATGCTTTCTCCTTCTCCCATTCTGACAATGAAAAATCAAAGGTGTTCTTCCATTAATGGCGTTGCAGCTCACTGTGTACCTGTTTCCTGAGGGCAGGAATTACCTGTTTGTAATTTCTTTATACATATAGCAACCGAGGTAATACTGTGGATGTTAGATTGAACCCAGTTAATTCAGTGTGAGGCAGTGCTCTGACATCATCCTCTTGCTCCTCTCAGGCACAGTAACAGCTGCCAACGCCAGCACGCTGAATGATGGAGCAGCTGCTGTGGTTCTGATGACCGCAGATGCAGCCAAGAGGCTCAATGTTAAGCCCTTGGCAAGAATTGCAGGTAGGAAATACACTGACCTTGTTTATTCCTAAACCCCTATAATCTCTTCCTGAAACTGAGTTTCCTTGTCAGTAATACACATAATATTGAAACTGGCTATTTCTATCTCTAGGCTGTAATTTGTGACAAAATTTAATTGATACACATTTTCAATTGGGGTAGAAACTTCTTTAATATTTTTATTTGCTATATGATGAGTAGGAGAAAACAAGGTATATGTTTTATCCCAGAGCAGTAGTTAGGTAGAATAAAAGGATGACTGGGGTGGAGCAAGTGGCACTGAGGTTGAGGTTGAGGTGGCTGGATGCTACACGGCTAACTCTATGGTTTGAGTCCCAGACCTGGCCGACTGAAAATCACGTTGGGCACACGTGTGGTGTGCTCAAAATCTTGGGAGGAAAATGGATTGTGTGGCCATTCCCCTGTAGGTGGGGGTTATTTCTCACTGACTAGCCCCTGCCTCTGGCAAGTGCAAGTGCCCTATAGCAAAAATTAACTATGTGGCTTGGGCAAATCTTCAAACCTCTTAAGTCTATTTTTTAGTTGTAAACTCTGCCTTACTCTCTTCATAAGGATTTAATCAGATGTCATATTGTTATTTGTAAAAACCTTGTAACTTTTTCTTAGCTTAAATCATACTCTGTTTCTTAAACTGAGCACTGTTGACATTTCATACTAAATACCTGTTTGTTGGGAGGGCTCCTTGCATTGTAGAATTTCACAGCATCCTTGGCTACTACCCACTAAGTGCCAGTGGTATTGCACCTGTAGTGACAACCACCTGTTGTTTATTTATTCATTTATTTTTAATTGACCAGAGAGAGAGAGAGAAAGCAAATCACCAGGTCCAGGACTCAAACCGTGGTCGGCCATATGGGAGTCTAACACCTTTAACCACCCTAAGAAAAATTAGTTTCAGATGACTGGTGTAATTTTATAAAGTGCAGAATCTGAAACGTTTTTCAAGATTCAATCTGCTTTTGCATATGACGTGTAACAGATACAGTTCTGGCTGCTTGAAAGAATTTAACCACTTGTTTTTCAATAGCATTTGCTGATGCTGCTGTAGAGCCTATTGATTTTCCAATTGCACCTGCGTATGCCGTACCTAAGGTGAGAACCAACTGAGACACTGTACTCCACTGTGCAAACTTCTGATGCTTATACAAAGGGTGTGACCTTCCCACTTCTAAAATAAAAGAGCAATCCCTAGACTACTAAAATGGAACAGGTAAAAGTTACGTAACTGCATTACTTTTAAGTATGCTGCTGACCTCAGTCCCCTGACAGAGTAACCCAAAAGGTGGTTAGTGTTAAAAAAGAAATCTGTTGGTCCTAGCTATAGAATTCTAAGTAAATAGTCATCCCCCAGATGCAGAAATAAGTCTCTGGAAAGTTGCTAAGGGGTCACAGGAAAGTGAAGAGTGCTGAGGAATTCACAAATCCCCATCACAGAGCAGTGAAGAGAAGACTTCACTCAGTGATTTCCTGATAGCAGCACCCACATTTTTTTCTAAAATGCAGAATAAGAATGAGAGGTAAGGCCTGGTGACAGTCTGTGGGGTGACAGATTTCAGAAAAGGACAGAAATACACAGCTTATAAAAGGGCAATCAGCACTTCAGAACTAGACTCGGTTAGGTTTCATATTTTGTCTTGTGCTTTTGAAAGAGAGAAGCTCTTTGAACTGTACTGCTTAGAATGCTACCTCAGCCTCCTGGTACAAAAAAGGAAATAGAAGGAAGAGCTTTATGTTCCTTCTATTATTTACAACAATATTTCTAGTGGAATAAAGGGTGATAGCAGTATTTTTAAAAGTACTAACATTAAGATGCTAGCACCAAAACACCTTCCTGGCTAAGGAACAGCAAAGACAAAACAAATCGTACAATGAAAAGATTTTAAAAACAGGGTTTACAGTGATGATAAAACAAATTTAAGTAGACCGCAGATAACCCCCTAGTATCCCTTATAAAGGAGGAACTGCAATGAACATAAAGAAAAACATGGAAATGGTACAGACCTCTTTGAGCTGACATTTCAAGAATACGTAATTGTGGCCCAGCTCCACACTGGAGCTGCATGGTTCCTAGACCAACCCAAACATGTCCAGAGGGCAGTGCTCTCCTGTGGTCCTAGCTGCTTGGGAGATCATGACATGGTAAGACAAATCTCCCTCTTTCTGTCTAAAATAAATAAAATGAGCTCTTAAGACTTTATGAAAGACAATATACTTTCTGATCAAGTTTCTGTGGAATATTTATTTTTAAATATTTTTATAAATCTATTACAGGTACACCTCTGCCCAGAGTATATAGGGAGGCTCTAGGACACAAAACTGGGACCCTTCTTTGTGGGTCTGGTTCTATTACTGTTCTACTTCCCAGTCCCCAAATTTTCTGTTGTCCCCAAAAAGATAATACAAGTGAAATGCTTTGATTGTAACTAAATAAAGAGATACTTCCTCTTGAGACTGCCGGGGGTATAGTGGTCAAGATAGCTGGATCCCACAAGGACAACTGTATTGTTTCAGTACTAGATCCGGCAGCTTTAGAAACATACCAGGAGTGTGTCTGTCTGGCTGTCCAGAATTACAAAAAGAGGCTGGAGTGGAGGAGGAATTGGAGCATTACCATCCTCCTTTAGATGATGGTAATGCTGCAATTTTTTTTTTCTTAAAAAAAGCTTTGCTATTGGTGGGGAGAGAAAGTGAGAAAGCACCTCTGGGATGATGGTCACACCGCAATTGTCTCAATTCTCCCCTTTGGATTTTGGGCACATACCAGCATCCACCATGTTTTTCAAGCTATCAGGTTTGGGACTCGAACTGTGGAGCTGGCAGTGTGGGACCCAGCTGACTTAACCATGATGCTATTGGCTGGCATGAATTCTCATTTTTCTGTTCTGTCTCTCCACCAAGCAAATATATCTTCTAGCAGATTAAAACATTTCTTCTCCAAACTAGAAAGCTTATGAATGTACTGTATTCCATCAAAAAGTACTACAGACCTACATTAAAGAGATACAAACCTAATTTTAAGAGAACAATGAAATTAAGCTGTGCTTGCTAATTATTTGAAATTCATGTATTTTTTTTTTAAATTGTAGGTTCTTAAGGTGCAGGGTTAAAAAAAGAAGACATTGCCATGTGGGAAGTAAATGAAGCCTTCAGTCTGGTTGTGCTAGCAAACATTAAAATGCTAGAGATTGATCCTCAGAAAGTGAATATTGATGGAGGAGCTGTTTCCCTAGGGCATCCAATTGGGTAAGTAAATCATAAAGAAAATCATATCTAGGTTAATAAGATGAATAAATTCATGGTAATTCCTATCGTTCTTGGTTTAACCGATTTTTTTTTTTGCCCTCCATAAGGCAAACATCATTTCTGATAATATCCCACACTGAACAGATACATGTATCACATCTGTTACTTGAACCCTAATAGTGTGCACAGTTTTTTTTTTTTTTTTTTAAAGAAAACAACCAAAACTAAAATTCATGCTCAGGCTTTGGCTGTAACCCTTACTGCTGAAACAAGTCTTCCAAGTTTAAAAAAAATACTGCTTGAGGAATGTGGTTAACCTGAAAATCTAAAAGATCCAAAACTTTTTGAGGAGCAAAGTGAGGGCACAAATAAATTCTACACCTAACCTCATGTGACAGATTGAATGCTGCAATACAAAAATACCATATAAAATTATCATCAGGCAATGTATATATGAAACAGATTCTGTTTAGACTGGGTCACATCCCCAAGAACTTACATTTATGCAGATATTACAAAATCTCGAAAAATACAGAAATCCAAAACTTCTAGAGCCAAGCATTTCAGATAAGAGATATTCATCCTCTAAGATTGTTGTCCCCACCTTAAACCAAATGCCTACACTCTGGTAGACACTGAAAGACTCCATAGCATAGAACTGAAGAGCATCAATGGTAGACTACCAGAAACTGTACATGGGTAGTGGAGTTTGGGAGATAGTGATAAATATATGCTTCCAAAAAAACTAGAGGAACTACTATCACATGTGTACAACACAATGTTCACTGTTGAAAATGACAGATATCCTTGATTACCATTGTATGCATGCTTTTACTACTAAACCCTACATGGATGTACAAGTGAACCAGAAATAATCTTGTAGAAAGTAGCCAATAAGGCTTTTAAGAAGTTAATTTGGGGGACCAGCAGTTGGTGTAATGGCTATGTCGCTGGACTCCCACGTAGTTGACCGCGGTTTGAGTCCCAGACCTGGTGGCTTAAACTCAACGCCAGGCGCATGTGCGTGCATGCCCAAGATCCTGAGAGAAAGGACTGTGGCGTGGCCATCCCCTCTGGGGGGCTGATTTCTTGCTTTCTGTGTCTTTGTGGCAAGTGCACATACCCTATAGCAAAATCCTCTCAAAAAAATTTTTTTGGGGGACAGAAACATTTTTTTGGTTAGTCATAAATTCTGTACTACATTAAAGAATTAAAATGCTTTTCTTAATTCTAGGATGTCTGGAGCCAGGATTGTTGTTCATTTGGCCCACACTTTGAAGCAAGGGGAATATGGTCTTGCCAGTATTTGCAATGGAGGAGGAGGAGCATCTGCTATGCTGATTCAGAAGCTATAGACAATCTGTGTTGTTGAAGGAAGCAACCCTGTGTCCAGTCCTACTGAAATCAGTGTGACTACCCTGGGTCAGCTTATACTTAAAATAAGCTACTTCATTTTATTATTACTTTCTATTTTAACTTTTTGTAATAAGATATAAATGTTCAAGTCTCAGAAGCTTTGAAATTACAAATAAATTTTTGGTGCTTTAATTTTTTGTTAATCTTTAGAAGTCTGACACATTTGCGAATTATTATTTGAAATACCAGTGTATAGTATTAGTGACTTTCATAAGTAGCCAGAAGCTTATATTTGAAAAAAAAAAATCACAATTTTTACTTTTGAAGGTTAATGTTATCTGTAGGTAACTTACACATAGTAGACGTGTTAGAGTGACAGCTGGCACTTCTGGGTGAACAGTACCCATGTATAGGGACAGCAAGATGGCCCAATTCAGTAGGGAGGTGTATTTTTTTTTTAAATCTTACTCTCACTTATGCTTCCTTCTAAAAAAAAGTTCAGAAAAATTAATTAGCAGAGGATCATACGAACATATCCTAGAGAAAATATATTTAAAAATTCTTCAAACACGTAGGCAGAAGAATAGGTAACCTTATTTCTATTATGTTAAATGCCCAAAGGCAAGTGACTCACATCTGCATATTTTTAATAGAACAAAGTGATGTGTCTCAGCCATGTAAAGCTTGGACCAACTCTTTTTCATTTCTTAAAGAAATGAAAAGGATATTTAATTTAAAAATGACCACATAAGGGGCCAACTGGTGGTGTGGTATAGTTAAGGCAGCTAGATTCCACATGGCCAACTGCATGGTTCAAGTCCTGGACCCAGTGGTCTGAAAAACAGGCAGGACATATATGCATGAATGCCCAAAATTCTGAAAGGGATTATGGTATGGCCACCCTCCCTGGAGGGGTAGCTTTGTCCCTTTCCTTTTCTCTCTGGTTAGCACATATGCTTTATCGAAAATTAAAAATAAATAAATAAATAAAAAGCCAGTGAAGAATTGGCTGGGGAACAAGGGAAGGTAGTGATGAAATATGGGTAAAGTATATATCTGCTAAATGAAGATAAACACAGAACAAGTTCTGAATCTTAAATTATATATAAAAGCTAAAGAATCCAATTATGTAATTAAAAAAAAAGGGGGCATATATCAAATACTAGAAGTCAAGGTAGAAGTTGTTAAAACAAAAAACTTTGTAGATTCACAATGAACTTGTGATGGTTATAGACTACAGAACAATAATAGAGGACAGTTAAAGAAAAAACTATGGCTAAGAAAATTACAATGGACAAAGTTAGACTAGTATAAGACTGAATAAAGACCTAACTTTGTACACTTATAGCCAGCATACCTACTTAGGTTTTTTTTCCCCACTTCTTGCAAGAGAGAAAGAGAGAGACTTCTACCCCAACACAGGGCCTCATGCTATGATCATTCCCCACCAACCCTGACAACCAGCCAGGATGATGGGTTTACACAGGCAAGGCTGAGATGTGCTTCAACCTATCAGCCTGACCTGAGAACTGAACTACGATTTTCCACATGGCTTCCAGTATTGCAGGGGACTGTGCTACTACCACACCACAGTGTATTTAGGCCACTGTGAGGTGCCCCATGCAACCACTTATAACAACTTTTTTTTTAAAAAAGAGCATGGTACTTTTAAGTAATTATATTGAAAATATTAATGTACTTACCTATCTGCCAGATTTTAATGTTCAAAGCTGAAATTAGAAATAAACTTAATGTTGGGACCAGCAGATGGCATAATGGCTATTTCTCTGGACTCACTTGGCATGGACTACAGTTCCAATCCTGGATCCAGCAGCTTAAAACTCATACTGGGCATGTGTGTGTGCATACCCAAAATCCTGAGAGGAGAATGAGGAGAAGGGATTATGGCATGGCCATCCCCCCTAAAGGGTGCTTTCTCTCTCTGGCAAGCACACGTGCCCTATAGCAAAAATCTAAAAAAAAAACAAAACAAAAAAACAAAACAGCCTTAAGTGCTTACATCAGATAAAACAATCAGATAACTATTCAATTTAAGAAGCAGTGTGAGCAGATGGTGTGGTGGCTAAGGCACTGGAGTTCCACATGGCCAACTACACCGAGCGATTTAAAAATCCCGCTGGGCGCATATATGTGGCATGCCCCATATCCCAGGATAAGAGAGAAGGGATTGCAGCATGGCCAGCCACCCTGGCAGTGATTTCTCATTTTCCCTGTCATTGTCTGTCTCTCTCCAGTGAGTACACATGCCCTATGGCGACTATGGCGAAAAAAAAAAAAAAAAAAGGGTCTTCCGGAAACACTGGAAGCATAAAGAAAGAAATGGGCAAATAAAGAATACAACTGTCAAATCAAGACAAAGTTATTCTAAAAGAAAACATAAAAATTTAGGGAAAATGTATTATTTGACTCAGAAAAGAGTTTGAAGCCTAAACAGATAAATCAATCTGGAAGAAAACTGGGATAAAAAAAATGGGAACACTGCATAAGCAAAAGGCTCTAAGCAGAGATAATTAGGTTGTTGGAAAAGTCATGGCACTTTTTTAATAGAAAAACAGGAAAATACAGTAGGACTTTTTCAACAACCTATTTAGTAGGAATTTATTCTCAAGGAATAGATATTGTCCATTCTTAAAAAAAAAAAAAAAACCGACAACAACAACAACAAAAACCGCTAGGAGCAAAAAAACAAGAACACACACTGTAAAAATACACACTGTATCAGGGGTCATCAACTGGTGTGGTGCTTATGGTGTTGGGACTCCCACATGGTCAACATGGTTTGAGTCTTAGTCCCAGCAGCTTGAACATAACACTAGGCTCATATGTATGTGCCCCAAATCCCAAGAGAATGGATGAAAAAGAACTGTGGTATTGCCATTATCTCTGGGGATGATTTCTCACTTTCTGTCTCTCATGAACATGCATACCCTATAGCAAAAAACCTAAAGAAACAAAACAAAACAAAACCCAGGGGCCAGCAGGTGGCACAGTAGTTAAGTGCACTGGACTCTCACATAGCCAAACATGGTTCGAGTCCCAGACCCGGTGGTTTCCTTTCTCACTTTCCATCTTTCTGTTGCTGTTTCTGGTAAAATTAAAGTAATAATAATGATGAATAAAATAACAGTAATAAAAAAACCAGAAAACCAGCATTGGTTATAATAGCAGAAAGTTCTTATTAATGCTTTACGTAGATTAAAACTTCATACCAGCCTTAAGACAGATACTGTTAATTATCTCTAATATTCAGGTAAACCAGAAAGAGCAGGAAAGGTGTCAAATTCATTTTAAAAAATTGGCATAAACTTTTGATAATAGCCAACATATAGAATCAACCTGTGTCCTCAATGGGTAAGAAATGTGGTACATATACATAATGGCATGCTGTTCATCTAAAAAATTATAAAATCTTATTTGTGATATAAATGAACCTAGAAGACATTAAGTGAAAAACCCAGACAGAGAAAAGACAAATACCATACGGTCTCATTTATACATGCAGTCTAAACAAAAAGGTTGATCTCATAGAAATGGAGAGCTGGATTATTGGTTACAGAAGCTAGAGAGGGTAATGGGGAGGAAGGAATGGCCTATGGTAGTTTTACAATAAGACAAATTTTATAGTAAGACAGTAATAATAAACTTGGTGTTCCACTGCATGCAGTAGGGTGTTTATACTACCATATATTTCACAATGGCTAGAAGAGAGAATTTGGATTGTTTTTATCACAAAGAAATGATAAATATATAAGGCAATGAATATTCTAATTACCCTGGTTTGATCATTACACAGTGTACACATATATCAAAACATGACAGTATACCCCCAAAATAGGTACAATTATGCCTCAGTTAAAAAAACAAGAATTATAAAAATTATCATAAGTTTGAAACTAATTTCATTCAAAGTATAAATACTTAAGATGTTCACAAATCAAGAGCTATCAGGTAGCCTGGTGGTTAAGGTGCTGGACTCCTACACAGCTAGCAATGGTTTGAGTCCTGGACCTGGAAGCTTGCTTTCTCACCTTCACTGTCTCTCTCTGGTCAAATTAAAAAATATAATTAACAAATAATTCTTAAAAAAAATAAGGAATAAGATAATGAAGCCATCTTATCATTATAAGTTGTAATGAAGTACTAGTATCATTGTAGTATAGAGAAGTAAAATGAACAACTATTTACAGATATTACTTCACCACTTGAAAATCCATTAGAATTAAGAGAGTTCACTTAGTATAGAAAATAAACAGAAACTAAGGCCACACCTGTAGCCTAGTTACAGGGAGCCAGGTCCCATATGGCTGACTGAAGTTTGAATCCTGGCCCCAGAAGCTTGAAGAATACACCAGAAATGTGCATGTGTGTATGCCCCAGATTATGATGGGATGGAAAGAAAGATAAGGGACTACAGTGTGATCATGCCCTATTGAAAGTGATTTCTCCCTCTCTAGCAAGTGCATGAACCATCTGGCAATTAGAAAAAAACAGGATAAATAGAAATGAGATTTATAGTAGTAATTAATATAGTATGCTACTGGCAAATCTAAAAACAGACCAGTGGGGACAGCAGATAGAGTGGTGGTTAAGGCAATGAACACCGACATACCCAACTGCAGTTCAAGTCTTGGATTCCAGTAGCTTGAAACTCACATTAGGAATATGTGCACACATGCCCAGAATCCCTAAAGGAGATTGGAGGAAGAGAAGGGATTGTGGCATGACCATCCACCCTGTGGGTAATTGACTTCTCCCTTTTCCTGTGTGGCAAAAGCCTTTAAACAAAAACAAAAACAAAAAAAACACAACAAAGCAAAACAAACAAACAAAATCCAAGGGAACTTGTTGGAGTCCAGAAACAAATCCAAACATATATAGTTTACCAGCTATAACAAAGATAACAGGACAATGCAGTTGGGAAAGGATAATCTTTGTTTTTCTTTTCTTTTTTTGATAAACAGTTCTAGAGTTATAGAAAACCAATTCCAGATCATCATTCAAATATGATAGGTTAAACAATAAAGCTCTTAAAAGGAAATGTAATATTCAGATATCTGACATCCATCTGTATCTAGAATACACAACATACACTAATTGGTAAGAATAAGGCAGGCAACCCAATACATAAATAGGCAATACATGAATAGT